AGCCCCCTCCCCCCCCCCCCCAGTTGCTACGGCCCTGGTTTTGCAAAGCCCAGGCCATATTGAACGCCAAGACTGCTCAAAAGCCTTCATTCATTTACAGTCTGAGCTATAAAATAAAGTACTTTTGGATAGTGGCTGCCATCAACTGACCATTTTAAATAATATAAAATATATAAATTAATAAATATAAATTAAAACTTGGGCTTACTGGAGATAAAAACATATTCTACACATCTGCAGCAATTGAATCTTGATCTTGTTATAGTATTTCCTTCAAACTCTCAATTCAATCCGTACTTTTATATAAAGACTGTCAAGAAATTAATATATCTGTTCTTTTATTACTGTCGTTGCAAAAATAAAACTGTGTTGCAATGGAAGCATAGATAGAAGTGTTGATAAAATATTGCAACAATTCATTGGTACGCTTTCGCGGCATTCGCGCATGCACAAAGCCAAATGACCTTTAAAAAAGGCCAAATTCTACTAAATAAGGCCAAATTTCATTTTTTGAAAAAACGGCCAATCTCGTACCCAGAGCCATCGTTGAGTGGTACGAGATTGGAAAAAAGCCGAAAAAGCAGGGGCGCCGGAAATAACATGAAGCGGCGGGGGCAGCCATGTAAAAAGGGCACTTACTCTTAAGCCTTAATTTTTGTGCGGGGGCAATGCTCGTTAACATTTTGCTGTATAAAGGATACTTCATTACTTGTACCTAATACAGTTAGACAAATTTTGGCATAGATTGGAAAATTTTTATTCGTTGCATGACACTAAAGACTAAAATGTATTGTAAAGCAACATGACAGTTATCAGTTATTTAGGAAAGTTTCCTATTTAGGAAAGTTTCCTTTTTGTGGCTAGCCCGTTCGCGGGCTAGCCACAATGTAACGCTAAAACAATCTCGTTCCCAGAGTATGCCTGTTCGCGGGTTAGGTTGTGGCATGACTCTGGGGAAATCGAATCGGAATCGTTATTTGATTGGCTGCCGTGATCATCAATACTGCCGACACAATTAATGCGTGTTTTTTGCGAGAATTACGCGTGAAAATACGCGAAGAGAGAATTATCAATGTTTATCAAATTTGGAATGCGAAATCAAACAATATAAATCGAAGGATATAATATTAATCCTATGAAAAAGTATTGGGACGTTGGGTATATACTTACAAAATGGCATGGTATTTATGAATGACTTTTTATCGATCTACAGTATGAGTATATTAATGAAATCATCGCACACGTTGTCGTTGTTTTGTTAAATTGACATATTGTTGCCAGGACTTTGGAGTGACGGAGTAATTATAGAATACCTGGCCAGCTCATAAAAGCTTTGTAGATCAGCACTTGGCTACTTGGCTAAATCGCCAGATGACCACTTGGCTACATGTATGCATGCTACATGGCTACATGGCTACTTGGCTACGTGGCTACGTGGCTACGTGGCTACGTGGCTACGTGGCTACGTGGCTACTGGCTACGTGGCTACGTGGCTACTTGGCTACGTGGCTACGTGGCTACGTGGCTACGTGGCTACGTGGCTAAATGGCTAAATTGCTACATGCGAAAAAGAACAAAATCACTGCTAAAACACTACTTAGTAGCATAAATAAGAAAAAAAATAAGAATATATACGTTTTCTGTCCAACATTATTTATTACATGCACACAAAGTATTACAAACGGGCTTATAGCCTAGCTGCTCGGAAGCAATTGTTTTTCCTGTAGCTGTATTTTTGTTGCTTCTGAAATAGCCTTGTGGATTGGCAACTGAAATTTTTTTCTGTACTCATCTTGCGAAACCAAAGCTATTTCTCCAGGCAATTCTTCTAATTTCACAAAGACCACAGTTTCTCTTCTAGCATTGACACTGGCACGCAATTTTTTGATAACTCCACAACCATCCTTCTCTAATCTCTCCAAAGCCGTGAGAAACTCGCTGTCAACTATCCCACGTATTTTTCTCCCAGCCGATTGTTTAAAGGACCGTTTTGTCACTACGGGACCCGGAAACATAAGCACACCAATCATGATTTCTTCCAACGTAGGCTGCATCTTCTCAGGAACCACAGACTCGCTCGTCAATGTTCCAATAAACTAGAATTACAAATCATGAAACAAATATGATCATGATCCAAAATCTCTTGATACCACAAATAGTACTGCATAACTGGCACCTTTGTGCTTAATATAACAAAACAGATATCAAAATACACACTATAATAATAGTATATGTATATTTGTTCATAGCACTAAGTATATAGTTCATTTTAATTACCTCAATAACAATTTGTTTCTGTGACTCACAATAATCCAGAACTAAAAGAGACTTTTCAGTGTGCATTAAGTCCTTCTCTTCAACAAGGTCGCTAATAATGTGTGTAAACACATGGAGCGAGACCGCCAATCTTTTCACCAAATCGGTTCTTTTGGACTTTGGTGAGGGGATACCTTCGGTTATTGCCTCGTTTAACTCCGTAATAAACTCAGTCTCGATAGACTGAATGACCTTCCGGGCTGCTTGAGTGAAGCTGTACTCCTTTTTGCCCAAATGCAAGGAATACATCTCAAGAAAAACGTCAGTGAATGACTTAACTGGTATACGGTTTAGCACCCCTTTTGCTGCTTCGGTCTCATGTGGTGATGGCCTCAGACACATTGGAAACCAAAACAAGAAACGATCAAGCAAGCCGTGACCTTGGTCCATTCGGCAGATTAAACGCGCTGCAAACGGAACTTGCGTACAGCCTATGATTGCAAATGGCACGTTCTCTCCTATGTTACGCGTTTTCTCCGTAGCATATTTGTAGGACGTCCGCTCACCCGAGAATAGTTCACAAAGCATTTGAACCTCGCCAGACCCATTTTCTTCTTCGTTTTTCAACATTCTGTTCAGAACATCATACACTTCAGGCGAAACAACAACTCCTCTCTTCTGGTCGGAGACGCACTTAACCAAAGCCGACGTTGTACATCTTTCGAGTACAAAGTCCCCTAAGTCGTTGTTGTCACGAACAGCAATCAAAGGATCCATCGCACATTCTTTCATCGCTTGCGATTTGCCTGTAGTTGGTGGTCCTACTACGACTGAGTAAAGATTAAGAGTCGTTCTATGATCTGTACTGCTGGAAACTGTGGTACCATTCAAGCCGGTCACAAACGCAGTCGTCGTCAATAAACACGGCACCATATATCCTATTGATGTACTTAAAGCGATTGATTTGTTTTTGATGAACTCGTATACTGGCTCTGTAAAAACATCTTCAAATGAAAACGGTACCGAAATCAAACGCCGGTGTAAATCGCACCATGTTTTTTCATGCTGCTTGCTAACTCTTGCCAACTTAGAAGAAGACATGTTCGATGATAGAAAACTTTTCAACACTGGTCTTTGTTGCATTGTGTATAAGCAGAAACCCTTTGCCCAATTTATGCAAAACATAACTCTGTTTTTAATAATTCTGTGTCAATTACGTCCCTTGAGTATGAATCCATAATAACAATTACACCAGAATTTTGAAACGACGCCTGTGTACCAACTTAACCGCGACCTTCATCGTTAAAGCTTTCAAATTATACGTCGAATTTTCGACCCGTATAATGCAATTCGAACAATCGATAAATAATAAGACAGCTTATTTTAATATCTATTGTTTCAAATGCATTAGACAAATCCACATTACATATTAACAAGAAAACAACAAAAGAAAATTAGAATGCTCAAATCATAGTATTAGCGGATTAGGAGCACCGCAAATTTTCCCCAAAGACCACTGTACGCAAATTTATCATCTCTTTTTCCTTAAAATAAACAGATTATCGACATGATATCTACGAGCAGAAACGTGACTAGTCGACGGCTATAAAATTCGAGACTTAATACCACATTAGTAGTTCTTTCATACATGTATACTGTCAAACGAACGCGTACTGTATCCTGTCAAACAGCAAGTTCAGTTGACAAGCAATTCACAGAGAAGAGTGTACAGTGTGATAACCATATATTAAACAGCTACAATAGAGACAGAAAATCTAGCCACCTTACTTATGACGAACTCGTTGAAAATTATCTTGGTAATAATGAATGTATTATCAAGTGGTTGCAAGAATTGGAAATTATAGCCCGGTCGGTAGTGTGTCCACAATGCCAGAATTTGATGGTCCTAATATCGTGTAACGATCGATCCGATGGCTACAAATGGCAGTGTCGAAAAGCTGTCAATGGAAAACGGCACAAAGTAGAATCTAGTATACGGAAAGGGTCTTGGTTCGATAACAGTAACATGACGCTGACTGAAATATTAAAGTTCACGTATTGGTGGTGCATTGGTCTCGATCAAAGCCAAATTATCTCTCAACTAAAACTAAGCCCAAATACAGGTGTTGACTGGACAATGTTCTGTCGAGAGGTTTGCCTGGCAACAATTGAGAAGAAAACAGAAAAAATTGGTGGAGACGGGAAAACGGTACAAATAGACGAGAGTAAAGTTGGTAAACGCAAATACCATCGAGGTCACTATGTCGAAGGCCAATGGGTTTTCGGCGGTATTGAACAAGACTCTCGAAAATGCTTTATCGAAAGCGTTGAGGACAGATCAGAAAAAAGTCTTATTCCTCTCGTTCAAAAGTGGATTTTAACAGGAACAATTATAATATCTGATTGTTGGAAAGGATACATAAACCTAGAAAAATATGGATACGTACATAAAACTGTCAACCACTCCAAGGAATTTGTGAATAAAGACGGCGACAACACTAACAAAATTGAAGGTCACTGGCGCCAACTGAAAGCCAACTTACCAACTCACGGAAGAAGAAAATATCACTATTCGACATACTTTGCTGAATTCATGTGGAGATATGTACACAAACAAGCGGACCTTTTTTGGGTATTCCTAAATGATGCAAAACAACTTTACAACCCATCAAATATATAGTGTTTATACTGCAACTGCTGTTAAAGGTAGTCATGCAAGAAAATTGCAGAAGTTAAAAAGATATTCCATACCCCCATATCTTGATTAGTTTCGAACTAAATTATTCCACTACCTTAATTACCTCATTAATGCAATAAATTAAAATTTTATTTTCATACACGAAAAATCCAATTGTAATAACCCTGACCTCAACCCAAAACCTAGCCATAACTTCAACCCTAACACTAACCCAAATCCTAAACCCCAACCTGACATTACTCCTAACAAAACGCTTTCTCTAACCCTAACCCCAACCCCAACATCTAACCCCTAACCCCTAACCCTAACCCCTAACCCCTAACCCTAACCCTAACCTAATCCTAACAAAACGCTTTCTCTAACCCTAACCATAACCCCTAACCCCAACCCTAACCCCTAACCCCTAACCCTAACACTAATCTAATCCTAACAAAACGCTTTCTCTAACCCTAACCATAACCCCTAACACCAACCCCAACCCTAACCCTAACCCCTAACCCCTAACCCTAACACTAACCCAAATCCTAACACTAACCCAAATCCTAAACCCCATCCTGACATTACTCCTAACAAAACGCTTTCTCTAACCCTAACCATAACCCTAACCCCTAACCCCTAACCCCAACCCTAACCCTAACCCCTAATCCCTAACCCCTATTAACCCCTAACCTTAATCCTAACCCTAACCTTAATCATAATCCTAACCTTAACCCTAACCCTAACCCTAACCTTAACCTAACCCCTAACCCTAACCTTAACCCTAACCCCAACGCTAAACCTTAACCCTAAAGCTGACCCTACCCCTAAACAAAATCCTAAAACCTAACCTTACATTTCGAAAACCTATTTTTGCTGGATGTCAAACTGCGTTTTCTTCCAAATGGTGCTTTTGATTTCAAGATGTAGCCACGTAGCCACGTAGCCAATGAATCACACATCTTTATATGGCCAGGTATTATATAATTGTACCTAAATATTAAACACAGAGGAGGAATTATTCTCTTCTCATACAAAGCTATAGAACTTGCTTTGGCGTTTATATCAATATTAGCTAAATGAATAAATATTGATACCGTCTCAATACATTAAACTATATTCATACCTTCTTGTAGCCTGTACTTGTAGTATTCTAGTTTGTTGTCGTTATACATTTACAGCTATCATGATTTCGACAGTTCGACTTGCTTGGAGCACATATTATGACAATATTTATTGCTTGGAAGTATAATCTGTAAATACAAAGCAATATCACTAAGTTTTAATGTATTTTAGTAACAATATATTGTTGAACCCAATACAAAATACAAATGCGACCAACAGCACGGCGGTTAAAAAATATATACATGAATACAACTATTTATGGCACATATTTACACACGAAACTTCCAAATATTGACATAGTTTAACACTTACATTTAAGATTATTGTGTGGATCTTCAAAAATTGGAGTATTTCTTCATATTTTCGTAAATATTTTAAGAAAACTTGGCCATATAATATTTATCAACCAGCGTTATAAAATTTCCACAGGACGCGCTCGAAATGTGTCCCGCTAAGCCTTCTGGGAGCCCATATATGGCAACGCGATTGACTGAAGGCACTGATCTCAATCATGTGAACAATCCCGTGCAAATTAAAGTGTATTGCGGTTTTTTGACAGAAACTTTTAATTCTAATTTCTATCTTCAAAATTCTAGCTGTCTTATTATACCTTGCTTAAACGACAATAATCAAAGCATTTACGACGCAATATAAGCTCCACACCTAATTTTACGAATTTTAGTTATCACGGCTGTCTGACTGAGGGTCTTAATGGGGGTCTTTGGGTGTCAGTTGTCAGCTAAAATTTAAGCCAGTTGTCAGTGCGATATATTGCAAGCTGTCAGTAGTCAGTTACTGCAAAATGCTGACTTATAATTTTTTTCATCATTTCTCAGTAGTCAGTTAGGATATTTTGTCAGTTGTCAGTCAAAAATTCAGGCAAATGTCAGTAGTCAGTTAACCCCATTCAGACCCTCCTAACTGTACGTAGGAGATCTACCACTCTGGAGACTACAGTTACGTATCCGCCCCCGTAGAAATTTTGCTAGATTGGATATAAATAATTATGAAAACGTAAACTCCTCCACGTTCCGAATTCCACGTAAACTCCTAGGAGTACTATAAACTCAGTTTCAGGCCAATTAAATTCGATAAAATGACTCAGGGCCTCTTTTAACATATAGACTGCGGGGACATGTCCCCCCCAGCCCTCCTAGTGGCCCCTCCAGTCAGCAATTTTGTCCCCCCCCCCTCCAGTGCAAGGTCCCTAAAAACTATCTGCAGTAGGTGGTCAAACAGCAATTGTATATCAAAGTGAGAAAATGATGTTATAAGCTGTTAACATTTCTGAATTTGACCATTATCTGCAGGTCCGTAACTAGCTATGAGTCAACCGAGTCAGTTGCATGGCTCGGTAGGAATTTTGGGGACTGAAAGTTAAACATCGCCAGAAACCTAAACCATGGCTGAAATAATTTGCTCGTGGAAAAAGGCATGAAATGGCATTTTAGGTTCTAGTTTAGTTTTTCCAAGCAAAGATACTCCAAAGAGACCACCCTATCGTGCTCTTCAGTGACACTGAGAAGCGAATGCGTCGATATCAAGTACTCAAAAAAAGGAATACAGTACTGTAAAATTTGAAGTGTGGTGAATGATAATACTATACCACGCACATTTTCATTACCGCCATCGTCACATCATGTTGCCTTATTGGGGGACTGGATTACATTTGGGAGATTGTAAAATTGCAGTAATTATGTCACTGTTTATAAAGTTAATTTCTTGTTGGAACACTCCTCAAGATGCTGGAAATAGCCTATCTGAGCTTCAAATTCTGGTGTATGTTTACACTTTACACTATCATGGTGTTATCACATACACCAGAATTAGCTAGATACATTTACACCGTTTGAGGGTATGTTTGCAGCGTAATAGATGTTTATACTTCGTTTAATTTTCTACTTTACACCAGATCAGTGTATCTTAAAATCGTCTATAGTGTAATTATACACCAGGTTCAGTGTAGATTTGCACGAAGTAAGCATTCACGTTTTTTACATCATACCGGTGTATATTTACACAATCATGGTGTTATCTCATACACAAGAATAGGCTAAATTTACACCGTTTGAGGGTAAATTTACACCATAAAAGGTGTTAATACTTCGGTTTCTACTTTACACTAGATCAGTGTATCTTAAAACAGTCTTAGTGTAATTATACACCAGGTTCAGTATAGATTTACACTAAGTAAGCATTCATAATTTTACGTCACTCCGGTGTATATTTACACTATCATGGTGTTTTCTCATACACAAGAATTGGGTAAATTTACACTTGTTAAGGGTAAATTTACACTGCAATAATAGTTAATACATTAGTTTCTACTTCACCTCAGCTCCGTGTATTTTAACGCGTTCTAGGTGTAATGATACACCAGGAAAAGTGTAAATTTACACTTCGCAAGTGTTGGTATACTTTACACCGAATAAGTGTATATTTACACTGTCGCAAGGTGAAAATTAACAGGGAAAGAGGTAATGTTACACCGTTCTAATGTAAATCTACACCGAATTAGGTGTAAATAGAATATTTTCTACTTTACACCTAGTAAGTGTTACCGAGACACTAAAATAGTGTAAAGTTACACTGTGGAAGTGTAATGTTACACTCGAACGGTGTTTAATTCCGCGTTACACCTAATTAGTGTAATGTTACACCTTTTTGGTGTTGCCGCAACACCGCGAGATTTACAGTGAGTCTTTAGTTAAAATTTTGTCTCTCTTAATATTTTCCCATAATATATATTATTCGCACATTACAAGGGCAACCAATATAATTGTTTTTAATATAAATCAAATAATTATATCATTGATATATTTAATTAGGTAGGAAAGGCGAGGGGTTGCTACATGCTGTATTCTAGTATATAATTTCTTAGAAATTTAAAAAGGGGTTGTTATTATTCTATTTCAGATCATACACCACTAATAAAATCGAGACATTAATTTAAAAGAGATTAACAAGGCTGTTTTCTAAACAGTTCTGAATTTTGTATTTTACCGACAATATGCTTGTAATTCCGTAGTCGAAAGCAATGATTACACCGGAACTAGGAGGTAGGAACTAGGCTAAGCTTATATTCAAATCTATAGCCGTACCTTTGCCAAGACTTTTATTTTCATAAATGAAAATATATAAGTCAAAACAATGCGGAAATATAAAGAATCTGATGCAGAATAGTTAGGTTGGGTTTCTAAAACAATGAAATGTTAATGAAACATTCCAATCACTGATTCAGTCGTTACAGATACAGTAGTTGCACTATTATTATTCTAAGTACTGGGATCATCTTAAGCCATGCTATTTTCCAAAATGGACATTTCTAAATGATGGGTAGTTGTAAAATTTAGAATGCATGGGCTTTCCAAAATTGATCGAAGTCTCATGGAGTTTTATATGAGAATGATAATGATATAAATTAATTATATTCATACAGAGATTTAAGGTCAAAACAAAACAAAAGAAAACTTGATTCCGAAAATGGAGGAAATGACCATTCTGGACTTGTGCAATTCATAATTTTCCGAGCAACTATGCTTCCGTCCTCATGATATGCTCTCCTTGTTGCAATGGGCAGTTCTAATTTAATTGGCTTAGGATGACGCCCGTCTAAGTGTTTGTACAGGCATGCAGTTATCTAAAAGCTTTGAAAATAAATTAATTTGGAAATTTTTGAACCTAACCTGAGCAGATTGATTCAGTTTTTGCATGTTATAAACCACTTCTTTTGCCACGGTCATTCTTATTATCGACTCTCCGTGCCCACATGCAGCTGCTGCTCCGTATTCATTTGCGTAACCGCCGCAGCCTACCAGCGGTACATCACCGACACGACCTTTAGATTTACCTGGTATACCACCTTTAAAAATTCAAATATAGTATATATATACTGCATGGTCGTTGTCGTAATTCACTTTTAGTGTTTTTAGTCGCATGTTCTATCTACAAGGTGTGTTTCTATTATAGACATGGCAGGAACCAGCATTTCATAATGAGTTAATCATATTAATCCCTGATCAAACGAACATGTGGGTGTACGAGAATTGACAGACACATGATTTTGGTTAGCTAGTCCTAATGCTTTCAAGTTGAAACATAGTTGGAACGCACACCTAATCTTTTCTTAATCTAAAGCTCTAGCTTGAATTGTTCATACGAAAATTCGTGACTGCCAACTCTCGTCAACTCTTATTCGCGTTTTCTGGGCTTTATTGTTACCTGACGATGCCGCGCAGGCCAAATTGCCCTTGCAATCCATGGCAATAGCTGTTACTGTGTCGCCTGGGCTATTATTTAAACCGGCATTGAGACCATCCAAGGGAATGTCTCTGCCCTCCACAAATTCAACGGGAAAGTTTTTTTTTACTGCAAATTCCAATGCTCCATCTGCACACAAAGTACAATGGTCTGATTCATCCATGACTTTTCTGGCGAGTGAAACAGGATGAAGAATAAAACGTGCTGCTGTTACTGCACCTACAAATTTAATTGAGAGATACTGACGTAAGAATTATTTGTCAACATAAAGTAGAACAAGCCTGGTTGCGTTTTTGAAACGTTTAGTAATTCGTTTTGTAAGTCATGGAGAACATTGGCGAAGCCGGCCCGACAATTTTGTCGTGCTATCCAATTTTAAATCATTACATCATTATTCATTTCTTTAGAAATTGATTGTTTTCACGGTCTATGAACAAGCGGACATATTTGCATAGCATGACCAAGTTGTCGGGCTGGCTGATGGAGAATCTGATGTATTCCTACCATCAACCACCTGTTGTAAATACAATGTATGATGCCGATCAGCGTATGAAAGACATCATGGAAGCACCACAACTTTATGCAATAGAAACGAGCAAGCTTTATTCTGATCAGCCAAATCGGTTTCTGACTTTCAAAAATAAGATGTATTTTCCAACTCCTCATCCCACTCACGAAAAGGTTGAAGTCCCCGAACGAATTAGGTCGTGCTATTAATACCTTAATCATAAAGTAGTTGTCATGGTGAATTTTGTTAAGAATATTTTTACAAATTAAAAATGTCAAAAATCCCCTACAAATATCATAATTACAAAATTATCAATTCCTCAAACATATATATGCTAAGTATGTTATTATACGCGTAATATAAGCTTCAATTTAAGGTAAAATTCAACCTCTAACGCTTCGCAAAATGTCTTTAAAATGTTCGTTATAACTAAACTGCCATTATCGATAAACTTATAAAATGATTTCAAATTCTTGCATCCAAGCAACTTTGCTTTCTTTTTTATTTAAAAATTTTAATATAATAAAAAGGGTAATCAATAGGGAAACACTGAAACTATATACTTTTCATTTAAAATATACGTAACGATCAGCTTTTAAATCTATAATAATTTACATAAAAAATATTACTCGACTGTGATTGGTTGATTTCAGTGCAGTTAATCACAAACAGCAGTGCAAAAATCTGTAACAACATTGCAAAAGTATGTAACACCAGTGCAAAAATCTGTAACAAACTGATCTGATTGGTGGGAAAACATTGTGATGATTAAATGAACCAATCGGTTTAAAGCAATTTAGTTTAAAGAAGTAACGGACACAGATTGCTTCAAAACAAAACAAAAAACATGGCGACGCGCTACACAAAGTAAAAGTTGCCTTCGCGTGGAAAATATGGCTTTTATCTTTATTTTTAACTGGAAAAACATTTACCTTAAACAGGACTAATTAACAAAAATTACATAGTTGAGTGGAATTTTCAAGCTGTTAGCGTTGTATAATGTGATATAACAAAGCCAGGAAAACTTTGCCAGTGGCAGTGGAATGTTCGCTATAAACGCGTAAGTTAAAAGCTACAATTGTCTCGAACATTTTTATGTAAATTATTAATAATTCGGAACGAGTGCTATTTGAGGTCTTTGAAAAACTCACTCGTGCATGTTATATCCAAATTGCACTCGAAACCATGCTATTACCTATACTTATAAAGCGAACAATACATCAATATTTAAAACAAACCTACCTTCGTTAACGTCGGCGACTTTACTATACGACCTTCGTTAAAGCCCGCGACTATAACGAAGACAGCTTTTGAAATTCACAAAACCTTGCAAAAATGAAATATATTTGCAAGAAATCATCAAATCAAGAAATGTTTGCTATTTCGTTGTCGTCATGCAGTCGTTTTAATGCAAATTTTAAATTTGACCAATCAGTGTTTGTTATTCGTCATGACAGTCCGCCATATTTTTGAGATCAGTGAGGATGACCACCCACCCATCACCCCAACACCGTTGGTCACCAACGCCCGCGATCATTGACGAACTTTAGACTTCGATAATGTTTCGTTTCTCCGGGTGTAAATAACCGGGCGAAATTAGTACCAGCGCCGTTGGCTCGGGGATTATGGCATTATAATACCACTCCTATTCGTTCTACAGTATTACCATAATTACTAAGGTGGTCTTACCAACATGAACTCCACCTTTGAATTTACTATGTGAGTAAGGGTCGCGTCTGTCGGGAGGCCGGTCGCGCGGGGGTAGGGAGATTTTCAAGTTTTTAAAAAATGTTTTTAAAAAAGTTTTAAAAGAGTTTTAAAAAGCAAAAAAAGTTTAAAAAGTTAGATTTTTAAAAAGTTAAAAAAGTTTAAAAATTTAAAAAGTTAAAAAAGTTAGGGTTAGGGGTTAGCGGTTAGGGTTGGGATTAGGGTTAGTGTTAAGTGCCGCAATCGCGAATTTATTATTATGATAAATTCAAAATGTGCCGCACATTTATCATAATGATAAATTTGGACGTGTTTAAGAATTTACTCATATAGTAAATTCAAAGGTGGAGCTCATGCTGGGTCTTACCCAACGAAAAGTGGTGTTTTGAGTGAAATTTGCCATTTATCAGATATGGAAAAATACAAACTTTAAACCCTACTTAATCATATTTGTATCATTTTATTGCTCAAAAATACCTAAAAACCTAAAAATTTAGTAAATTCCATAAATTTACATTTAGCAACGCCCGTAGCAACCAGATGTTTGCCTCTTTGAAAGCGTTCTACGGTTTGGATAATTTATATTTAGATCAGTTTTTACCCCTCCCTTTCAAGTATACTGTATTGAAGTATTCAAATGTTACCGTAGCCTTGCTATCGCTGGCCAGTCTTTTCACTATTTTTCAAATCAAAATTCGAAGCCATATTTGAGTCGAGACAGACATTGTTTTTTGACAAATGGTAAGGGAAGGATCGAGGAGGGGAAAGAGAAAATACCATGGGAATCTGCACGTAAATGATGCAAAGAAAACTTGTGTTTCCAGTATTGAGCAACCAGTGTTTTTAGTGAGTCGGTTGCTAATCTCTCTGCTTCGGCGAGAAAAATAGGTCTGTCTTGTAGCTTTCATGCTACAGTAGCAGTTCCAAGAGCCACTAAAGTAACTGCTTATCTTTTCATTGTTGTGGAAATAGTAAATAAACCTTTCCAGAAAATGTCATGTAAGTTCTGTGGGGAGAATCTATATATCTTGGAAAGAATAAGTTGTTCTGCTCATGTTCGGCTGTGTTGTGATAAATGTGGTTGGGTATATACCTTTTTACATTAAAAAATCAAACAGTCTTTTTATGTAAACAGAAGAGCTTTTGTGCAATGAAAAGCATTGGACAAGGAGAATCTTTTGTCAGACGTTTCTATTCCCTAACAAATATGCACCCACCGACAAAACCTTCTGCGTATTCAGCTTGTAATGATTCCTTGTCGACAGCAAGGCATCAGTAGCCAAGGCTAGGGCTACTGTTGTGATGAGCAATGCTGGTAAGGAGTTACACCATGACAACAGCAGTGATGACGAGGTTCTCTAGTGCGGTGTTTACTGTGATGGAACTTGGCAAAGGCGGGGATACTGATTATTAATTTAAATGGTTGTGAAATCTTCTGTGTTGGTGTAATGTACTCAGGTGAATAAGATGTTTGTGTGATGTTACTCTGAGTGTATATCCACACCGGGCAGGCTTGAAAAATATGCCCGGCCACGGCGGGATATGCCCGGCCCGCCATGGGATATGCCCGGCCCGCCGTGGCCGGGCATATTTTTCAAGCCTGCCAGGTGTGGATATATACTCAGAGTAACATCACACAAACATCTTATTCACCTGAGTACATTACACCAACACAGCAGATTTCATAAATATTAGATTACACTGATATCGAGGGAGCTGGACTCAGTTCCGAAATATCGCTTACTCGAACCGTCCTGACCGCGTAGCTCAGTTGGAAGAGCATTGGGCTAGTATTCCGGGGGTCGTAGGTTCGAATCCCGCCGTGGCCGGGCATATTTTTCAAGCCTGCCCGGTGTGGATATACACTCAGAGTAACATCACACAAACATTAAATGGTTGTGTTACTACCATTTCAATTAAAACGGGTAAATGCCTTTATGTCGAGATTTTGTGTAAGGAATGTCATACCTGGCAAAGGATTGATAGAGACAGATGATGAAAAAATGCATTGCTTAAAGTTGACCCATAGAAATAATAGATATAGAATGCGTACTCCTATCTTTTCTCAGTGAAAAATTTGTCTCCACTAAATGGCGGATTTATAAGGGCATTTCGGTTCCTCCCAGGCTCCTGAGGCGGGGAATTTCGCACGCTTTCAGGGAGTGCGAATTGTTTTTTCAACTGCAAAGTTTGCAAAGATTTTTATATCGAGACTTAAAATGGAAAACAAGCTTTACAGACAACGAAAAGTGGCGCCTAAAAACCCATTCTAGTGGGCTTTTTTACAAAAAGCAACAGTTCTGAACAGAATATATACAGAAATCGTCTTTTAAAAATAAATTTTCAACGTTGTTGTGCAAGCCAAATCAAAACCCGAAAGATCAAGACAAACTCAAACTCAATAGGTATGTTCTATAAATATTACTCAATAGGTATGTTCTATAAATATCTCTTTTATAACATAAATGAAGTTCAATAATCTTTTTAAACATACCGAATTACTTTTCATATTTTTCTACGTTGCTTGAGCTTGAGGCAAGGCTTTTGAAACCATAGTTTTCGACGATTATTTAGACAATTTACAGTTTATCGACAACTAAATATTTTTGTTTCAAGAACATGTGAAACACTTTGTTTACATTGAAGAAAAACGAAACCCGACGACGAAGAAAGAACTATTATTTTATAATCTTATAAAAATATTAGCAAAACACTCAAGTAGTGACGTTCAGAGCATGCAAAAATGTTTTATGACTAAATTATATTTACGCGAAACTACTTTGTTTTTACAAGGCTGCACGATTTTCACCGTTTTTGTAACTGCACAATTGCTTTGACAGTTTGTGCCTTCAAAGAACTCAACATCTATCCCCAAACTACAAATTAGACAACAAGACAAACGTTTTCACAGTGAAAAGTAACGTAGTTTTAGCTTTGTTTATATTTTGTATTTGGCACTCCTAGACAAATTCAACATGGCGGATTTATAAGGGTGTATACATGATTCGTGATCAAGTACGCATTCTATATCTACTAGAAATACATGCATGCAATAAACCCTCGCCTGTTTTCAAAAGATGTATACTCAGTGCCGTTGCGAGCACTTCGTCTCAGGGGGTATGTGAGGTTATATAGAAGGGGGTGGGGGGGTGGGGGTTACCAAAATGTTTCCAGATGTACAAACATTTTTCAGGACATATAATAATTTTTCCGAAAATACAGTTATTTTCCAAATTCACTTTCTCATGTCCTGAGAATTACCTGAATTCCCCTGAAAATATTCTGCAAATCTATTTAAATTTACCTAAAAGTGCACTGGAAATCTACCTGAAATTCCTCATGAACAATTATCAGGGGTGTTGCACCCCCCCCCCCCCAATGAGTTTCAAGTAAATACTCTCTGATATGTTGTTCATGTATTTCAGCTCCCAAAATATTGTGCATCATACTCTAGAGCATTTTGCTGTTGTCATGCATGCTCTAGCGTGGTTCAAATTTATGAATTTTTATTATATAAAGTATAGTGTTTTATAGAGATTTCGAGCACTGATAAAAATGATAATCTCACATGTGAAATTATTCATGATAATCTCACAAGTGAAAATTATCGCTTTTCAATTATCGCTTTTCTGTAAAAATTATCGATTTTCAAAGACTGTCCTTTATATAATAAACAGAAAAATACATGGGTGGATGGAAATACCAGATTTATTTTTCGTGTTGAACATGACATCTCACTCGTTCGCTGCGCTCACTTGTGAGATATCATGTTCAACACTCGAAATTTATCTGGTATTTCCGCGCACCCATGTATTATTCTCAGATATTGAAACTACAACTTGACTGGTTTAAATTATTATCAAGTTATCAGTGATTGTAAAAGTTGCAGATAGAAGTGTTTTGTTTTATATTATTATCAAGTTATCAGTGATCGCAAAACCTCCAAATCCTTAATTTCAAAAGCCCCGCCGGGGCTAATGCACTTATCATCGGCTTCCCCGGGGGTTGACCCCCGAACCACCCAGGGGCTTTTGTTAAGAGGATGGAACAAAACATTAACAAAGCCCCTGGGTACAGGGGAAAGTTTAATGACAAAAATCATGTTACAGCCCCCTACCCCTGGGGCAAAAAAGCAAACATAACATCCCTAACAAAAACAAAATATTATATAACTGGTGAACTAGATACAAAATACAGCAGAAAAGTAAACAACTTTAAAATAACCGTCAAAAAATGTCAGGTTCAAGCATGTAAAGCATGCACGCTTGAAAGAATTTATTTGCGCATGCGCTGAATTATAAATAATTAGGGTAAGATGAAGTTTATACTATTCAAATTCAATGATTTTTAGATACGAGTAATGTCCAATACAGGCATCGATATCTGATGTCTGATGGTGAAGATGGTGTATGAAGGTCGAAGTGTGTCAGATGGTTGTCAGATGGTGTATGATGGTGTAAGATGGTTGTACAGGGAAGGGCTGTCAGATGGTGTATGATGGTGTATGATGGTCAAAGTGTGTCAGATGGTTGTCAGATGGTGTATGATGATGTAGGGTGATTATTCAGGGAAGGGTTGCCAGATGAAGATTGTGTATGATGGTCGAAGTGTGTCAGATGGTTGTCAGATATTTGTCAGATGGTGTGTGATGGTCGAAGGGTGTCATTCGGTGTAGGATGCTTATACGACGTTGCTATATTTTATTATTACTTACATATACTGTGGCCAACTATGTATATAAAAATATAATATTATATCTCACATTACGGTTCTCATGTGGGAAACGTAATTCAAAGTATTTGGCAAAATATATTTAAATGCATTTGACAGACATGTTCGAGGTAATAAATAAAAATATAATGTGAATATACTTCACCACCTGACAACCGATGGTTATATCTATATTGGACATATATGTTAGATACCGCTGACCATATGTGAAACAAAATCTCGCGGGTTTATCCCGGGGGTTAACCGTGCCTGTTACCAAACCCAAACAGTTCCCCTTCCGCGAGGGACACTATTTTTTACAAAAGACAACAAATCCCCTTCTGTTCCCGGGGGTTCCCCCTGGGGTGTCCCAGGGGTCGACCCCCCGGGAAGCCGATGATAAGTGCATAAGGTTCGAGTGGAAATGCCCAACCCCCAGGATATGCTTTACAGGAAAATGGCTCGGCGTGGGGGATGGGCACACTTGGATTTGGCTGATGCATTAAAAGTCATGGAAAAAGAAAAAACTTTTCATATTGCTACTATAAAATGGCTTATTGTGCTTATTCCTGTGCTTATTCCAGACTGCTTGTCAAATATTTACTTGCAAGAAGTAGAAATTTACTCTGACCACTGGATGAAGAAGACATTAAATAAGTACTGGTCAATAAACAGAAATGTATTTTATTTCATATTATTACAATTTTATTTTTATACTATAAAAATAAAATATAAACATGCAGCATAGAATATGCAAATTCGAGGCAAAATTATTGTTGAATCGGTTTATTTATAGGATTTTATAACAAATAGCAACTATAAAAGTTTATACCTTGTCTTCACATCGCTTTATTCTGTTAGCCAATGCTTTTAAATTTACATATTTTAGAATCAGTTCCTTTCCTGGTAACTGCATTTCTAAATGAAATCATCGTGAGTAGTGAGTGCTGAGCAGGCCGTTTTACTATAAACAAATTTTAGGAATTGATAACAACTTTGAAAAATATATCGTTGCACATTCGGTCACAGTCGGAAAAATGTTCATAGTATGTTGTACCGTCGCTTGCAACTAACGATGAACAGTCGCTCATAAAAAAATTTGCGTGATTAGAATCTTCAATGTTTGTCAAGAACAACAACACTTAATTGTTGTTTCCCATGTGTACAATAATAAGTAACAAAACTTTGTGTGGTCTGAACGTGTTGGGCTAGAGACCTACTGGAAACTTTTACAGGCTTTTTAATGAGAATAGAGAATGTTTTATCTGCAACTGTTCACCCTTAGTTGCAACCGACGGTATTTGACAGCATAAAATTGCCTGTGGCTGTGATAACTGATATAAATAAAATACAGTCTGGTTATACTGACTTGAGCGTGTCATGACAAACTCTTTATTGGAAAATTGTGAAGAAATAGTCGAATATAGAGGGTCGAATATCATACTTCAACTTGTATAGCTACAGTATCATTGGTACATAGCGTTGTGAAGACAAGCCTTTGCTTACCTTTCGCTTCAGCAGTCTTTTCCATGCTTCTCTACGTTTTCCCAGGCGAGCTTCTCATTCCTCAGCGGTCTCCTCGAGCAAACGTAGTCGTCTTCGCTCCCTTCTTTTCGCTAGACGCTCGGCTTTCTTGTCGTTTCCTTGCCGCTCTTCATTTGGCTCCATATCTTTTCAATTGGTATTTGATACCGTAATTGTTTGATAAAAGTTTTAATAAAACTAATTGCTTTTAAAGCTGCCAAATGTTATTGCAAATGTACAAAAAACTGTAGCGCAAAAAGCAAAATATTTTCATGAAGTATCTGTAGTTAAAGTCGTCATTCGTCATACAACAACAAATTTTTAATTTGACCAATCGGTGTTCGCTATCATGACAGTCCGCCATATTGTTGAGATCAGTGAGGATGACCACCCACGCACAGTGACCCACGCCCGCGATATTTGATGAACTTTAAACTTCCTTAATGCTTTCGTTTCCCCGGGTGTAAATAGCCGGGGGGAATTAGTACCCTCGCACGGCGCTTCGCGCCGCCGGCTCGGGGATTATTTCTATGAGTTGACCATGTAGGAAAATGAAAGACAAACAATGCAGGTTCAGCACCGTCATGGAGACCGATGGAGTGAAGCGAATTTTTGAATGTACAGTAGTGAAGCGACCCACAAATTGCAACAATTTATACAGAGTATTTTTTTCATTAATTATGGGTACTAATATACTACATTATGGGTACTCAAAGAAAATATATATAACAAAAACTTGATGCCACGAGCTGTTTTGCGAAATTGAGACTGAGCAATTTCAAATCAATGTTTAGTTTTTTTATACACCCTGTAGTTTGATGATGTTTGTTGTTTAATATTTCTATCGGCCGATTTTACATATGTATATGATCAAGTGCGCATAAAGTTTGCAAAGGATATAGAGAATAATACATGGGTGCGCGGAAATACCAGATTTATTTCGAGTGTTGAACATGATATCTCACGAGTGAGCGCAGCGAACGAGTGATATATCATGTTCAACACGAGAAATAAATCTGGTATTTCCAACCGCACATGTATTTTTCTGTTTGATTTTAGAAATGTATATTCTTGCCATGCCAGATTTTAGAAATGTATATTCTTCGTACGCTTCCTTAGTACTAGGTTTAGTACAATTAGGACTTTATTTTTTGAAGGGAGTGCTTATTTTGGAGGGGATGCTTATTTGTGTAGTTACTGGGGGCTCAATAGGGGATTATATTATCATAATATATGTTAAATATCAATTTGTGCTTATGTGTATTCCGGTAATGCACAATATTATGGACTATAAAATGTTCCAATTTGATCAATTATCAAGATCTATTGGGGACTTGTTCATATGACCTAAGCTGTGCAGAACACAATCATGCTTGAAGGCAACTTCTTGTTGCCTCGTTGGGATGGAGTGTTTACTGTATCTATGTTGAATTTTGTGGCTTGCATAGCTAGAATTCTGGCAACGTATACCTTATATACAAATTCGAGGGGTATGTATCAATGTTTAAAGCTTGCCCAAGGCAATGTTTGGAGACCTACTAGTTCGAAATAGCACAATAAATTATAAAATCCAAACGAGAAATTTCAAAAGAAATCGCAGAAGAACAGATATAATTGTCCAAATTTCATGCAAAAATTTTAAAAAATGCTCTTTCAGCCAAGCTTTTAAGTGATCCCCATACGTATATGTTCACCAATTTCATGTGATGAAGGCGTTTATGCATTCTGATTGGCATGGACTGAAAATAAACAAATGCAATAATTGGTCGAAAAAGTCATCCCTCTTGTTCTTACAGTAACCGTCTGCGCTGTCAAACGTCGCTCCCTTTGCGTTCTCTGTTGTTTCCTGTCCATCGAAGCAATCTGCTATAGATTGCATTGAAGTCTACTGTCTTTCAAGTAAAATGGAACCATATTATATTATGCTATATAGATTTGGATAACTCTATGATTCTGAACAGTGTATATAGTCTTTTATTTTTCGTAATATTGCTCTGAAAAAATATATATTTCCATGTTAATACATGCATGGGTTTCCAAATTTGAAACGCCTGATGTTGAAAGAATGAAAAATCATAATGAAATTCCGATATGAAATTAAACTACCTGCATCCACTTTGTGCCCATCCATAATCATTGCATCACATTCCACTTGCCCTTTATCAGTTTTATATGATCCACGGCCTGCGTTAAAACGCCCATTTTCCTCCAAACCACGAACAGCTTTTTCCACCGCATCAACAGCTGTACCATTATCCTAGTGATTCCAAGAGAATTAAAATAATGGTTATATTTTGTAAATAACGAGATTTTGTTCAATATTCTAATAATATCATTGTACATGTTATCAATGCAGAACATCTTGCGGTTTTATTTTCTTCTAAATTTGCTTTTAACACGAAAGCTCACAATACTTTTCGCAATGATTCACTTGAACAGAGAAAAATGGACTGCAATTATGAGAATTGTATAAATGCATGCACAGGAATTAAAATGCATCGATGTACTGATTATAAACATTTATATAACTGCAAAATAATGCAATAGCTGAAAAAGTTGAGGATTTTCGTTAAATCTCTTCTTTAAAATACTTGTCATTGTGAGCTAGAATTTATCAGAAGGTTGCGCATATATTTAATAGCAAAGCTATATGATATCCATGTTGTCGCATATATGTGTCCCTATTAGAAAGCTAAATTGAATGATCTATAAAGATAGGAATTTTCGTTTACGCTTCAGCATGTGCAATGGAAGTTAATTTTCTTGTTGTAAAAACAACACGCTTCCAACACTGTTCTCTATAGCCTTCCAAAGGCATGGTACTAGGGAACATTTTGCCTCATAGCAGTGGCGTGCTGGCAGGGTGGGGGGCAGGGGAGCAAGGTCCCCTCAGCTGAAAATTCTTGGCTGGGGGCGCAAAAATGAAAAGAGGGCGCCGATCCCGCGCCGAATTTTCAAAGTGGGTGCGAAAAAACGCGTTCGAAAAAGTATAGTTACTACCGCCAGGAAAAGATGTGTTTATAGGCTTATAAACAGACTAAGCGCATAGGCAACAAACTGATATATTAAATTGCAGACAATTTTGTCTGACCGTATTTGCTAATTTGCTACCTCACGGCTCACACGAAATTATTCATATAGAAACATGATCAGTGATCACACGCAATGTCTTATTACCGGAATATTGGTGAGGTTTCGAAGCGATTACATGCATGCCCTTTATTGCTCATATTATGCCCTTTATTATGCCTCACGAATCAAAATAGCGGCGCACATTAGATAGTTGAAGTTATGATAATGTAAAGTTGTGTACGCAGTTTAGTTATTTGCGCAAGAAACATCATGAGTAATGTAAGTAAGGAAATAATGCTGAAACGCGCCCTTTTCGCAGCCAGGCAAGGTAACCTTAAAATGCATATGCGTGCGTTATTGTATAAAAGAGCTGCAAGTTGTAAATGTACTGTATTGAGATAACTAGATCAGTAAATAATAGTATTGGGATTAAATTAATCGCTGGAAGTAGTTGCATTGCCAAAAATAAGTACTACTACTAAATTCTAACCAAATTGCAAATTTCGACACGTTATAATGCCGTTTCTTGACCATCAGATTTCTGTCAAATCTTCTCCCGAAGTCCAGTAAATGGCATTTTAGAGACCCCTAAACAAACCTCGCACATGCGACGCTGCTCGTGCCTTCGGCCCTCGTTTATCAAGCATAACATTATAGGGGCGCATATTGGTTGACAGCTTACTGCCCCCCCCCCCCCAGAACAGTAGTGCCCGGCACGCCACTGCCTCATAGTGTTGAGCTGTTTATCGGGCAAAGCAGTTGAAGTCATCTGAAGTAAAGATAGGAAAGTTTACGAATTCCATAACGGATTGATTGGCGAGCACGTCCTTTTGTCGAGCAAGAAGATCTCAGACACCCTATATATATAATGTACACTTTTGACATCCTGAAGTTGCTAATGGTAAATTTCTGCAGCATAGGTATCGCTTTCTCACAATATGTGATTAGTGGATACACTGACAGTAAATTTGCCGGAAATTTACACCAGGAAAATTAATTACTCTATAAGGTCTACAATATCTTACTTTCAGAACATCATATCCATTCCTCGCAGCTCCTTTCAGCGCGTCCATGAACTCTTCTCGATCACCAGATTCCAAATCAGTATACATACCACCCTGAACAATTATTCGTGGTTTTCTTTCGCATTCCATCATTTCTTAAAAAGAAAGGATTTCAGAGTCATTTCCAAATTGTAGCGATAGAGATTATACCAGGATGGAAAGGTAGTTCAGAGACCGTGTCGTTAAAACCGACCAATGATTTTAGGTCTGTAAATGAATTCTCCTTAATCAACTAACTTTCGAGCAAATCTGGGTCCGGTTTATGAAATAAGCCTAGTCGCCATAGAAAGTGGCTAAAACTTAATAGCAAAATATAATAGAACGAAGTGTTGTCAGAATGATACTGCTAATATTTAAATTTCCATTGAAAGCTGAGATCAAGAGAAACGATAAAACGGCAATTAAAATTTGACGTCTGACAGAATCATTACTATTATTAGTTATAGTTATCGCAGATTGCAACTTGTTTGACAAAAATGCAGGACTGTGTTACTTTAATTATGTGTGTTTGTGATAATTACATTATCATATATCAGCATGAATTATGTGCACCCATACTGTGAACGTTTTCGATATTCCTAGAATAGAATTAGTCAGTTCATTGGAAGTTTCTGTATACAGAAAGTGAAAGTACATAATTTATGAGAGATTTATACATGTTAATTTTCCAACTTTAAACTAAATCCTTTCTAATTTATACTGTACTCTAATTTCTTTATTTTCATAGTGGCTAGAGCTTCTTTTCGAAATTTTTGACAAATAACCTGTTTTAAATAATACTCTACAACAAGTTAAAGGCTAGCAAGTTAAAATTAAAGTTGAGCTTGAAGTAACGATCACTACGAATATTACCTGGCACAGATGTTCCCTCTTGGTTTAGATTTCCTTGTGTTATATTTTTTGCCATTTGCTTACTAAGAAGAAACGAATAATTAGGGATATCAGAAGAAAACTATAATGAAAACGAATGATTAAAAATTCATACATCAAGGGTCTAGAAGCAACGCGTGCATAGTTTCATTGTTTATGATGAGAAATTGTTTGTCCTCTCCCAGCTATAGGCTTAAATTCTGGACTTATCGCATTAATAGAAGCTGGTCTGAGAAGGTTGCATTGAAGTGAGGCATAATACTTTAATAATGCTTATTATATGCATGTGCTGTATATGATACAAAAAATTGATGCTAATCAGTCATTTAAAACAATTTGCAAATACAAATAAATTATACTTAACTTGTTATGAATTTTTTAATATTCACCAACACTTGCACTAGTGAGATCTTCTTACGTTATTTTGCTTCGTTATTTAGCTTCAGGAAACATCAAAGACAAAAGAAAGGATGTGCAATTGGAAAATACTGCAGGTTATTGTGGTTAAATTAAATATTAAAGACATTCAAATATCTATTTTTAATACCTACTCATGATAGAACAGGATGCTATATGGAGACCAAGGAAAGACAATTTGAAAACAGTCACAAAATGTTTTATTTGAGCTATCAAGCTAATCGAATTTCACAATGGAGAGCCCCAATAGTAAAAATAAGAAACAAAGAGAACACCTGTGAAGGCAAAAAAATAAAAAAATGGCGGAATGTTACAGCGGGGGGATTTCTCCGATGGATTGACATACAAAAGACACAAAACAGAACACGCACGACTATATGCGTGCATCACCTAATATACAATATTTCACAGCATGGTCTATTTTGCAGACCCGTTGAAGATATAAGAAATCCATGAAATAAATAAGTCACAAACGAGATGTGCCAGACGTATGTATAGAGGTCCTATTACCTATCCCAAAATTAAAATCAGAAATAAATCACCTAAAATTAAACAAAAGTTAGAAAGTAACGAAATACTTCGCCACAAAATGAAAATAACGAAATAAAACTTCTTGCGCTAGTGTTTGTGGTGTACGAAAGTTACGTGTTTGCATGCACATATAAATAAAATTGACTTTCACTCTTCAGTGATTTTCCGCCTACTCCCCAGACCCGCATGATATACATGCAATTAATGAATTTTAATAATTGTCTTTTTAAATTCCCACACTATTTTCTGATCACGAGGACATATAAGGTAATATCTGAATCCTCCTCACCGAGTCGCTTATCCAGCTGGCTAAGTCATGGCCATGGAACCTCACCATTCGTCCGTGACGTTATTATATATCCTTATTTAGTCTAGCAGTTATTATATATTTCTAATTAAAAGAGCTCGCAAGGCAGGAAAGTTTCATGATAGATGATTTTCACATAGGACCTCAAGCAATCAAAATGCATGCATGCATGCATGCAATACTTAAATATGTAGTTCAAATTGGTAAATTTATTTACATATAGTAACTATTAACTGATTATTGACCGAGCGTAAGGTCTGTACTGTGAAATATCACACCGAGGTCTTTTAGTATGGACCGAGCGACGAAGGAACGAGGTTCATGCAAAAAACAGAGGTCTGATATTTCACAGTACAGACCGAACAAGTGAGGTGAATAATCGGTTTATTATATGGCTGAACTGAGTCTGTGAGCATATGCTTTTCGCGCGAACTAAATCGGCTATCGTCAGTTTCACTGGGTAGCAATATACGGTAGGCATCCATGCTCAATCAAAAACAATTTGGTTGTTTGAACTTTTTAGCTGTAAATTTTAATGACACACAATTGGAAAATTAAAAAGCAAAATTTTTTTCTGTTTGCAAAGCAAAAATTTTCCCGCCAAATAAACGAAATCCGGGCACCGGTCCAGATACGGAAAATACGGACCACGGTCCGGATATGGATTTTTACAGACCGCTTGTCAACCAATCAGAATAGAGAATTTTGAAAAGCCATATAATAATAACGGCTTATTGACCGAGCGTGAGGTCTGTACTGTGAAATATCAGACCTCAGGTTTTTTAGTACGGACCGAGCAACGAAGGAGGGAGGTCCATGCAAAAAACAGAGGTCTGATATTTCACAGTACAGACCAAATAAGCGAGGTCAATAATCGGTTTATTATATGGCTGAACTGAGTCTGTGAGCATATGCTTTTCGCGCGAACTAAATCGGCTATCGTCAGTTTCACTGGATAACAATATACGGTAGGCATGCATGCTCAATCAAAAACAATTTGGTTGTTTGAACTTTTTAGCTGTAAATTTTAATGACACACACTTGGAAAATTAAAAAGCAAAAGTTTTTTCAGTTTGCAAAGCAAAAATTTCCCGCCAAATAAACGAAATTCGGGCACCGGTCCAGATACGGAAAATACGGACCACGGTTCGGATATGGATTTTTACAGACCGCTTGTCAACCAATCAGAATAGAGAATTTTGAAAAGCCATATAATAATAACGGCTTATTGACCGAGCGTGAGGTCTGTACTGTGAAATATCAGACCTCAAGTTTTTTAGTATGGACCGAGCAACGAAGGAGGGAGGTCCATGCAAAAAACAGAGGTCTGATATTTCACAGTACAGACCAAATAAGCGAGGTCAATAATCGGTTTATTATATGGCTGAACTGAGTCTGTGAGCATATGCTTTTCGCGCGAACTAAATCGGCTATCGTCAGTTTCACTGGGTAGCAATATACGGTAGGCATCCATGCTCAATCAAAAACAATTTGGTTGTTTGAACTTTTTAGCTGTAAATTTTAATGACACACAATTGGAAAATTAAAAAGCAAAAGTTTTTTCAGTTTGCAAAGTAAAAATTTCCCGCCAAATAAACGAAATTCGCGCACCGGTCCAGATACGGAAAATACGGACCACGGTCCGGATATGGATTTTTACAGACCGCTTGTCAACCAATCAGAATAGAGAATTTTGAAAAGCCATATAATAATAACGGCTTATTGACCGAGCGTGAGGTCTGTACTGTGAAATATCAGACCTCAGGTTTTTTAGTATGGACCGAGCAACGAAGGAGGGAGGTCCATGCAAAAAACAGAGGTCTGATATTTCACAGTACAGACCAAATAAGCGAGGTCAATAATCGGTTTATTATATGGCTGAACTGAGTCTGTGAGCATATGGTTTTTGCGCGAACTAAATCGGTTATCGTCAGTTTCACCGGATAACAATATACGGTAGGCATGCATGCTCAATCAAAAACAATTTGGTTGTTTAAAAGTTTTATCTGTAAATTTTAATGACACACAATTGGGAAATTAAAAAGCAAAAAATTTTCCTGTTTGCAAAGCAAACATTTTTCTCCAGATAAACGACATCCGGCAGATCGGTTCAGATACGGAAAATACGGACCACGGTCCGGATATGGGTTTTTACGTACCGCTTGTTAGCCAATCAGTACAGAGAATTTCGAAAAGCTGTATAATAAAACTGTATACTATATAATACATTAGAGCAGTCAACAAATATTCTAAATCAGTAAAATATGTCAGAATTAAAAATATTACGCTTAAAATATATGTCATATTCCTGATTCTCTAATTTCTTGACATAATACATTATGGGTCCATTATCTTTAACGACACCACTCTGGATGACTCAGTATATCCCGTTCATTCTCTTTGCAGTGAAGAAAATATTTACTAGTACCATAGTTCGTTGTAGCGAAAGAATCAGCTGGTGACTATTTAGTCTTTTATATACCTTTTCAGATAAACTTTGTTCCAGATTAGTGCCTGGTTTGCAAAAAGTTATGTGATTGATAGTAACATACGTCTTTCATTCAATATATAATAAACGAGTAAGCGGTTTTTACCGGCGTATGAAATACAGAAAAATGTGTTGTAGTACGAGGCACCGTAGTCCAGATTTCCCACATATTTTTGAGGCGTTTTATTGGCCGAGACTAATCAGCTTTCGAATTTGGCATAGATATTGAGCATATTATTATTCGAATGGAAATCTACAAGAAAAATTCAAGGCAATAGTTGAGTTAATTTATGGGCAATACTAGCGTGGAATAAAAAAATTGTGTTTTGCTCAGGAATTAATGAGTTACAAAATTATTCAAGTAGCCTACACTTTATATTCTGTTTACATTGGGATACATATCATTTCGGGTAACTTTGCGCCGAACCCACCGCGCTACGGGTCAATAAACGACATTAGTATAAATTAGCATATCAAATGAGCTTTCGCGCCTTCTGATTGGCTTGTTGACTATTAAATCTGTCGCATTATTTACCACCTGACCAGTAAAAATTCTTTTCAAAAAGAATGATTCGGCAAATTTGGTTTCAAAATTGACGAAATATTTAAAAAATCGTCACTAGAAAGCGAAAGAAGCACAAAATGTTGTATTTAACTTGAAAGGTAGGATTCGATTATTATTTTATTGTGTCAAACATATTCACGGACCATTTAAAAATTATTTCAAACTCCGAAACATTCATTCAAACAAATAGCAAAAACTATCCCGACTGTTGAGCAACACTTTGCCGTGATATTGTTTTAAATCCATTTTGTTTTGTATCCTATAGATTTCTCAATTTGTATAGGCTACTGTACGTAATTTTAAATGATACTATTTAATCTTTTGATATGCCATGTTTTCATTGTGCTGTATGGTATTCTGACCGCTTTATTGTATTTCGAAACTTGTAAAGTGAGAAGTGTTATTAAAACTTTATTTCGAACGATATAGTTTTACATTTCATTTTAGTGATTTTACCAAATTTCGCAGCCATTTCCAGAAAAAATTAATGCTAAACAGAAACTATTTTTTTAATTCTAAGTCTGGTGAAAAAGTCATTCGATTCCGTTATTTTGTTTACATTCAAAGCAGAAATCGAGAAAAACAACTTTGTAATAAAGCATTAAAGTCACACAAGATTTAAGCAATTTTGAAAGCGTGTGCGTACAAGAAACACTGCAAGACTATTAGTGACAGTAACCGTGAACAGGCCGAAAAAAGTTTTATTTCTGAATTTTAATTGAACTGATATTTGGATATTTTGTTTTACTCCTTAAACGGGCAGTATGATCAAAGCTTAAACGAAATAGCTCGTAAAACTGTATAATAACTTGTTTTGAAGATTTTTGTTCTCATGCTTAGTTCTTGAGATATTTCTTTTGTTTGTAACCATGTGACGTCATCTACTCAATTACATATATAATGATATGTCAGTAATTGCTGTGTATATTTGTTATTTTTTATGGATTTGTTAAAAAACACAGTATGCTTAATGATGCAGGTTAAATTAACAAACGCGCCGCATCTTTTGGAATATTTAGATAAAAATAGCAAAGATACACAACAATTACTGATATTCTCATTATATATGTAATTGAGTAGATGACGTCACATGGTTACAAACAAAATGAAATATCTCAAGAACTAAGCATGGGAACCAAAATCTTCAAAACAAGTTATTATACAGTTTGACGAGCACTTTCGTTTAAGAAAATAAAAATTTTGATCATACTGCCCCTTTAAAAATTTATACTATTTAACAATTAGACAGCGAAGCCGAGTTGTCTACTGAGCGAATAGTCAACGAGGCGAAGCCGAGTCTCAGAGGACAGAGACAACGAGGCTGAGTTGTCAAATTGTTTTAGTATAAACCACATAAGGAAAACAGAATTTTTCACTTGATTTTTATGTAAAATAGTAACTCTTTAACGAAATGAGCTTTAAATGGCTTCCTTTGGCGACATTTCGCCTCGGGCTTTGTTGACAACTACTCAGTGTTGCGAACTCCGAAGAATGACTTGAAAAACACAACTTATGAGTTTTAAAAAAGTTAAAAAACATGTCATAAAACAGTATAATAGTAAGAGACCGTTATTCAAGCAAAGATTGGTTAATTAAAAGAAGAAAACAAGGCTTAAAAAGTCCAAAATTTCGAACACAAAATGGCTTCCCGAATTGTTACTAAATTAGTAAATAAAGTTTACATTGAAAAGTCGAATAAAAATTCACACACAAAAGAATCCGATTATCCGAATGTCGTTGAAATCTTTAAAATATCTGGAACATAAAGAGGCTAACCATTTCCATAATCTAGTATACATGGACAATTAGATTAGATCAAAATTTAATCGAAAAACTCGACTTAAAAAGGCTCGAAAAGGCGAAACACAAACTCGGCCAAAATCTCAACATTTAAACGAAAAAAACTCTTTAAAATGATAGCTAAAAACATGAACTCGTTTTTTGGGTTTAAATCGTGTTTGTAAGTTTTTTTTGTGTTTTTCTGGTCTGAATTCATTTTAATTTCGCTTATTTCCAGTGCTGCAAAATTACCGTCCAAAAAGGAATTAATTACAAATAAAATTACTGTCTTTAAAATGTAATTAATTACTGATCACAATTACTTCTTCAGGAAAGTAATTAATTACAGAAACAAAATTACCATTTAAAAATGTAATTAATTACAAATTACACATCATGTTTTGTAATGTTCAGTGTTCGCAAAGTGGAGAAAAACAATTAAACAACTCAACGGTTATACACCCTCAATTATAATGTTTTGAATCTATTTCAAAAACTTAAAGTTAAGCTTTGAGAGGAGGCATGCTTCAAAATGTTTGTCACTAAGACTGCTTCGGTGGGGCCTCAGTATCAGACCACCAGTGCTAAAAAGACGCTCGCATGCTGCACTGGCTGGAAGTGGACTATTCAGTTCCAAAGCCAATTTTCTTAGGGAAGCACATCGTTCTTTGAAAATATCAAAATCTTCGTTGTCAGATGACAAGTATAGCTCAAGCACATCTTTTGAACTCTTCTTCTTTGTCTTGAAAAATTTGTTTGCAGATGCTTCATCTTCCTTGGCTTCCGTTTCCTCGCTCTCTACCACATTGTCAGCAACTAAACGGTTCCGAATGTACTCCAGCCCTTGAAACAAATCAATGTAAAATATATTTCATTAGCAATTATATTTATTAATTATTTGATTATTAATGATAATTAATCTTATTTAAATTATAATAATTCTGAATTAAACACTCCTGCAATCTATAGACAACCCTATAACCATTAACCAAACTAATATAGGAAGTATTCCCAAACCTTTCTTTAACTGGGAATTGTCGTCAGTCCAGTGGTCCTTAAACTTGGGAATGAGAATAGAAGCAGCAATCACCTGGTCATCATCCATCACATCATCAAATCTTGCATGTATACCCGAAACTATGGCGTCAACTAATGGCAGCATGAACATCTTATTGTTTTCCTGTTGTTTTCTTCTTTCTTTCATCAGACATTCTAATAAGAAAACTATAGGTATCTTTCTCACCTTGTAATACATCGAGTGCAGTTGCAACAGGTTTCATAACAGCTTCATACAAGTTGAGGAACTCTAGTTCAGTCCGTATCTTTGAACCTAGTTAATGTGGTGAGGGAATAGAATAAAAAGTGGTGAGTGACAGAGTGCAAAGATAAAATACTGTAGCTCGATTTTAAATTACTGACTAGTGACTATAAATATTAAAATATAATTATATTATATTAATTAATTAATTTATAGTACGGTACTTACCTAGGCAAGTCAAGTCTTTGACATATGTTGTTTAAAGTTTGAGGTCCTGCTACAACCACCTTGTTAATTTTATTCAATCGCTGAACAGCATCAAAAACTGAATTCCATCGTGTTGAGCAAGGTCGTTTGATTTGCAAGGGGCTTTCTTCATCAATAATCTCTTTTGCTTGTACTGCTCTTCCAGTCTTATTCCAAAGTGCTTGACATTTGGCAAAACTAGCACGACTGAGCTTTTTCTACTGATAATCTTTTTCTGCAGCAGCATCAGTTGTTGAAACAAGTTTAAGTGAATGAGCTGCACACCTTTGATGAGAAGGAAGTTCCAAACTTTCGTCTTTATCAGAGAAAATGTCATTCATGTCAGTAACAGAGACATCAAGTTCATCTTCTGATGGGGCAAAGACAGAAAATGCCTTTATAAAATTGGAGCCATTGTCGGTGGTAATTTTGACCACTTTGCTGTTGATACCATAATCGCTGTGTACGGTTTTAAGGTGTGCAGCAATGCGGTCGTAAGTATGACTTCCCCTAATTCTTTGACAAGCTAAAGCTGCACTTTCTCTGTTAAAAGAATGAGCGGAAAGCCAATGAGCTGTTACACCCAGATAGGATCGGCGGTGTGCAGACCAACAATCAGTTGTAGTGGCGATCCACTCAACCTTTGCCATTGCATCCTTGACAGCAGCCATTGAAGCCTCTTGCCTCTTTTCTAAGCCTTTGGTGATGGAATATCTGGTTGGTAATTCAACTCCAGGTTGACAAGCATGTATCAATTCTTTGAATGATGGTTGTTCGACAAATGACATGGGAAGCAAGGATTCGGTAACCATATTTAATGTAAGTCTACCAAGGTTTTCCTTGGAAAGCAGAGGACGTTTCACACTACCTTTCGACCAGGAAAGAGTGGCTTGCTTAAGTTGCTTTGGTTGTTTATTGTAACCATGAGGTTGGTCTGCATTGGCATCAACAGATCTCTTCAATGCTCGAGTGGTAGTTAGCTCATTAAACTCATACAACTTGTCTGGGTGCACTCGCTATTAACCAAAGAAAAGTATATACAAAATTGTAAACAACAGGAAAATAAATAATTGGATGAATATTGATGTTGTTAGGGATTAACTGATTGAGGAATATTTAATTACGATTATTTGTGTATAATTTGGTAAAAAATCTCTCAGTAGTCAGTACACAGTACTGTGAGTCTCAGACTAGTAGACTACTATAAATAATACATACAAGTGCATAACTAGATATTGAAATATTGGTCTTAATTATTTTATAACTTGGAAAAATACCTTTATGTGTTTTCGAAGGTTGGAGTGTGATGTAATATATGTGGAAAGCACGGTTTTCTTCGGTTTACACAGAAGGCACTCGAACGAGAGGTTGTTGTTGCGTTTACAACAAACACGAAAAAATGTATTCAATTTGGGCAATGGAGATTCCTCTTTTCCCGCGTTGAAATCCTGCACAGCGGCAGATTGACTGCCTTCTTGGTCTTGAAGGTCTTCTGATTCTTCTCCACTTACAGTTGACTCTGGTTCACTGGGCCCGGCTGGCTCTATATTCTCTATAAAATCGACAAAGTCGTTGTCTACAACATGGTCTACCATATTAGCATTCGACGTTCAATCGTTCATATTAGCATTTCGCAGTTGTTCAAGCATGGCGGCAATGTTTTTCACTATATCAATACACTACATGAAGTAATAGAGTTCAATTGAACAACTTCCACTTGAACAACTTTGAATCAGTTATTTCAGTCATTGAAAATTTTCCAGATTTAACAAAAATGGAAAACAAAGCGTTTTTGAAAGCGTTTCCAAATTATTTGATCAAAGGAATTTGTAATTTTTATTCGTTAAAGCAAAAGGAACGCGTTCCTTTATTTTGTAATTAATTACAATAATTCGTTACCTTTCAAAAATGTAATTAATTACAGGCCAAAATTACTGCAAACGTAACGAGTAGCCTGTAACGCGTTACAATTGTAACGAGTATTCACAGCACTGCTTATTTCAATTCTTCATCACTAACTTCACAAAACGGCTAGCCGCCATTTTGATAATTTCGATTTTGTTATATTCACCTGTAGGCGAATATAACAGATTAATACGTCAAATTTGACCAATCACATTGTAGGATTTGTTATGTTCACTTGTTCAAAAATACTAAAAACAATTATTCGTCTCAAGCTCAGTGATTACGATGAATATTATACCTCAAATTCAAATTGTCCAATAAAAAAACAGCTTTTGTACCACGTGATAGTGTGATTTTTTACGGTATTTCACTCCAATTCATGATTTCGCAATCCAGCGTGGGATACTAAAATATCCCACGGCAGATCCACCTTGGGATATTATAGTATCCCGCGCTCACGCGCGACGCGTGGACACCACGCTCTGAAACAATATGGCGTTCGCGAGCTGTTGTTTGTATTAATTTCGTACAGAACTACAGAAGATTTATTAATTAAGTAAACCAAAGATTTCAAAACGTATGCTACATTCAACGATCCAAAGGATACTTGCTCAAATATTTTAAGGAGAAAACGTCAAAAACTCAGATATATAGATAAGAAATTAAAAATTGTATTCGCGTAGTTAATATTCAGCAAGTTTTAAAGTTTATTCTGAACACTTAGTAAGTTCTTTAACTTTCGGTATAATATATCATTTATAGACCCTCCGCTCGGGGGATTCGGCGATGTTTCCCTCAGTGATGATATCTTCCTCGGGCAAAGCCCGTCGGAAAATATCATCACTTCGGGAAATATTACGCAGAATCCCCCTCGCTCCGGGTCTATAAATGATAAATATCCACCTCGATTTCGTCTCGAGAATATTCAACGGTAATCGCTGCATGAGCCAGCTGTTTTCACTTCGGTTGATGCCATGTGGTCCTTGCATGCGCATTTTTCTCGATATCGTAAATAATTTCGTCGTAGTTGATGAACAGGAATGAACGAAATATGATGAGAGAGAAAATTATTCTACTCATAATAACAACTACTTATTGGTAATTAGGTATAGGTAATCATGCGATTAATAGTACGAGTGATGTTTGGAAATTTTGCCAAAATTGGACGAGCCGCCGTTGTTTATTATTAGCATGACAAAATTGGATACTTCTCAATGTCAACATCATAATTATTCTCTCTTGCCGCTCTTGCCAAAGCCCAGTCCTGCCATACTTTCAACCAAAATATAATTTGGTGCTCTTGTTCGTATTTTCATTTAGTTCTTTTGTTAAAGCAAAATTTGGTGCTTTTGTTCGTCTTTTCATGTAGTTCCATCTGTCGAAAGTTAATTGGTTACCTTTGCACCATATGGAATCTTGTGACGAGCAGTTCCAGTATTTTTCCACCATCGTTGATAATATCATAAACGAACATTTGCCTTGGAAACAAATCAAAATTGATTCTAGTGACAAGCCTTGGATTACTTCCGAAATAAAATCTCTTATTTCCAAGCGTCAAACAGCATAGGCGGCTGGCAATAACCCGATGTTCAGATTCTATCGAAACAAAGTCAATGCACTTTGCAAAAAAGCACGACTAAATTACTACAATAAAAGTATCGCGGGCGTTCAACAGTCCGATTCTCGTAAATGGTGGTCAGCGGTGAAGAATATTGCCGGTCTTCAGTCTTCTAAGAATGTATCTACAATGATGTTCCAAGGTAAATCCTACTCTGATGCCGATTTAGCAAATTTGCTCAACGACAAGTTCGTTGCTGTAGGGTCCTCCTTACCCAATCTAAACTGGCTCCCCCTCCCCACAAATGACATTCCAGATGATTTCTGCATCTCTGTCGAGGAGACTGAAAAGGCCCTATTATCATCTAAACTTCATTCATCTGCTGGTCCCGATGAAATTCCTTCTTGGCTTCTCCGGGAAAACGCTTCAGTGTTGTGTCGAACTTTGTGTTCTATTTTTAATTCATCAGTTCGTGAAGGATTTGTTCCCTCAATATGGAAGGCAGCAAATATTACACCAGTTCAAAAATCTTCGCCTCCTAAAGATGTTGATTCTGACTTCAGACCAATCTCCCTCACACCAATTATCAGCAAGATTCTTGAATCCTTTCCCTACAAATGGCTACTTGACTCCGTCTCAAAAAAAATTGATTCCTTGCAATTTGGTTCGCTGAAGGGTTCAAGCACTAGTATGGCATTAATCTACATGCTACATAAATGGTTTGAAACAGCTGACAAACAAGGCAACACTATACGGATTTGTTTACTTGATTTTGCCAAGGCGTTTGATAGATTAGATCATAACATTCTGTTGGAAAAATTGAAAGACATGGAAATTCATCCCGTGTTACTCAACTGGATCGCAAACGTCCTAACAGGCAGACAACAAAGAACCCGTGTTGGTCAGTTCTTTTCTGAGTGGAAGTTTTTAAACGCCGGCGTCCCACAAGGAACGAAGCTTGGCCCGCTATTATTTTTGATCATGATAAATGACTTGGCTGTAGTGGATGAAACTGTTAAATTTGTCGATGATACTAGCCTTTGGGAAATAATATCAAACAATTCCCCTTCCCAGTTACCCGCTAACATGATCAGCTGCTCTGAATGGTCATCAGACAATAATATGAAGTTAAACGTATCAAAGACCAAAGAATTGCGTGTCTGCTTTTCTAAGCTTACTTCATCGTTTGCCCCTATTACCATTCGCGGTCAAGAGGTCGACGTCGTTTCCGAGGCCAAACTATTGGGCGTTGTCCTTTCGGACGACCTCAAATGGAACTGCCATATTGACTACATTTGCAAGAAAGCCGCGAAGCGTTTGTACGGTCTGCGCCTTCTTAAAAGAAATGCTTTACCTTCTCATATTCTGATCTCAACCTATCGTACACATATTCGACCAATTGTCGAATATGCTTGTCAGGTGTGGCATTATGGCCTTCCTCATTACCTGAGTGATCAAGTTGAAAAAATACAAAAAAGGGCATTAAAAATTATTTTCCCTGGAACTATCTATGCTGAATGTTTGCTTAAAGCTAACTTGATGACTCTTTACGAACATAGAACTGTCCATTGCAAGTGACTTTTTTCGAAGATGTTAGAACCCACTCATAAACTGAATGCCTTAGTACCGCCTAAAAGTCTTCAAACTTATAATCTGAGGACTTATCCCAACTTATTAGTACCTAGGTGTAGAACTGAACGTTCTTCGAACAGTTTCATTCCTGCTGCGTCTCGTGCTTATAATAATAAGTAAACTTTAGATTATTATCGTTATTTTTACCTAACTTACCTATTTTTACCTGTAAATATAGAATAAATTAAATACCTATGTGCTTATACCCTGTAATTCCAAAGTAATTCAGTTGTTACTGCTAGTTTGGAAAATTTATAATAATAATAATAATAATAATAATAATTTTTTGTCGACCTTAATTCAGCCAAAGTAAGAAACTTTTTTGGTGCTGATAGCTGTTAAAAAGTCAGCGATTATAGAATTCGATACACTTTGGTGTAAGGTTTAAGAATTAACGGGTATTCTATATATAATTTTGGTAAGACTCTATAAAAAGAAAAGCCTTCGTGACATTACTTTTCAATGATTCGTAAATACGTGATTACTAGTGCAGGCTACTAGTGCTCCAAGACACGGAAACAGATTTAAAAAAATGCCGAGATGTGCCGAGCTAGGTCAGATTTACAGTACTGTCCAGAAATAACCTAACAGTGCGGTTGCGGTTAGGTCGCGGTTAGGTTGAGGTTAGGTCGCGGTTAGGTCGCGGTTAGGTTGAGGTTAGGTCGCGGTTAGGTCGCGGTTAGGTCGCGGTTAGGTCGCGGTTAGGTCGCGGTTAGGTTGAGGTTAGGTTGAGGTTCGTTTGCGGTTAGGTTGAGGTTAGGTTGAGGTTCGGTCGAGTTTGATCGATTTAAACCGCAAATTATAAATGTTTTACTAATGCCGTAATGGGAAATTGGGAATACCTTGACTGCATGTGCAGAAGTGGCGGGTAACATGAGTTTATAAACTGTAACTATAGGTCTTCAAAAGATGTGAGCGGATCTCGGATTGTAGACTCTTCGAAAATGCTGTTTTTAAACTAAAATAAGCCTGTAATTAAACCTTTCAATAAAGCGGAACATAATTAAGCTCCGTGAAATAAATTAATAAGCATAATTGAAAGTCACTACCTCTATATATTACGTATATATTATACTGTAGATATAGGATTTCCGTGATTTGCCAATCGTAATTAAACTGCTATTAAATGTAGAATATATGGCGGAATTATATTCGATATTGTATTCGATATAGGCCTGCGGTAGTAAATCCGGCTAAAGCGCAGTGATTTTAATTCTAGCAATCTGATAATTCCGATTTTACTAATCTCTAGTTTGGTAGCGAAAAGCATATATATATATATATATACACGCGGTAGTAAATCTATTAATTAAAGTAATTAAAGGACAGTGATTTTGATTCTATACTTTTATACAAGACTATAGTAATCTGGTTCTACTATCAAATACCATGCAATTAGATCACTCATGTAGTTGCCGTGTAGCTGCATGAAGACATTCTATGATTGAGTCATACAGACTACTGGGTAGTAGATCTAAAAGAGCATTGATTTTCATTTTA